TGTGTGTGTGTGTGTGTGTGTGTGTGTGTGTGTGTGTGTGTGTGTGTGTGCGTGCGTGCGTGCGTGTGTGTGTGTGTTAGTGTGACAGAGATGTGAAGTGTGTTTGACTTGACTCCTTTTCGATTGATTTGAAAGTTCCTGTACATTTACGTCACTGTAAAAATGGAAATGCTTATGTTGGAGTCACTACTGAAGTCCTGATAACAATTATGATTAAATTATATAAATTAACAAAAGTTACTCTTGTATGCATTTAATCGTGTGGTATCAATAAACAGTACTGCATCACCTGCAAAGTTGAGTATCAGTAATTACTTTTTTTTTTTTTAGGACACCAGTCAGCGACAGTGGCTGCAGTGCAGAATACAAACAATGGCAGAAATCATAAGGATATGCTGCAGAAGGATATCACACTCCTTGCTTTAGCTTTAGCTTCACAACATACACCTTGTTTTCTTCTCCTCGCTACACCTGTGTTATGGTATAACTGGAAAAAAGATGAATGTTTGACTCATTAAGCGCAGCACTCCCTCAGAATTCGGATCATCTCAAGGATCTTGGGGTTATTCAAAGAACCTTGTTCACCTTGTAGTTTTCTTACGGAACCTTTAATAGCTCAATTTAGGAAAAATAAAAAGGTTACTGGAGGAACCTCTATTAATGCTTGAGGGGCTCCTGCAGGAACCTTATTAAAATGCTTCCATCAAGATCCTTTTATAAAGTTCAGTGCAGGACTAACTGATGCTGAAGAGGCTGATAGTTGTATAGTTGTAATCATTCAAAATATAACAATTTCAAATCTCAATATTTTCATAATATAGATCACATGTGCATTATAGTGCCAAAAGCATTCACTTATCCATTGGATCACTGAATTCAGGTGATCCAGTCACTTTCATTTTCATAGGTGTATAAAATCAAGCACCCAGGCATGCAGACTGCTTCTTCAAACATTTGCTCTGTTTGCAAATGTAATTATGGTGTTGGGTCGTTTTTCAGGAGTTGGGTTCAGCCCCTTAGTTCCAGTGAAAGGAACCCTTAATGTTTCAGCATACCAAGAGATTTTTGACAATTTCATACTCCGACTTTGTGGGAACAGTTTGGGGATGCTCCTTTCCATAACTGCGCACCAGTGTACAAAGCAAAGCCCACAGAGACACAGATGAGCAAGTTTTTGTGGGATATCAAACGGGAGATATCACATGGAACCCTACAGATTAAGAATGGGAAGTCACTCAAGTTCATATACATGAGAAGGCAGATGAGTAAATACTTTTGGCAATATAGAGTACCTTTTATGCTGACATAATGCTTAACAGCTTACTAGCTTTAGGTGGCACACTTAGTTGAATGTTATGAGAAGAAAAGCATTGTCATTAACACCAGTCAGACCAGATAATTAATCATAAACGTCCCACCTGTGGGACCTACACCTTGTGGTGAACACTGTGTGGAATGAGCATGTGCAATACAGATACAGACTAATGCAATCTAGCACAAACAGAGTGAGGAACTGCTTTTCCACTGAGCTGTGGCCTCCAGCAACCCTCACCCAATCCCACATACACTATAATAACCGTCGGGACTGTTATTACACTCTATAATCACTCCCTCTGGCATAATGATGTTTTTATTTATTTGTTTTGGTTTTTTTGTTACTATTTATTCTTTTTTAATGGGTATAGGAGGGATGCCAGTGGCACTTGTGTAACAACAGCACAGTTCATCCTTTTCAATTCTGTTAAAAAAATTAACCACCCAAAAGTAGTTCTTTGAAAAAACCTTCCTGTTAGAGGAAACTTTATAATAAAGCTATTGCTATGTTATTATAACAATTAGTCAGTTAGTCGCTATCTATACAGATATATACTTTCAATATATATAAGCAGTTACGCTTTTATATATTGAAAGATGTGGTATTAATAAATACTGCGTCACTTTCAGAAGTTTATTTTCAGTGACTACTTTTTCAGACAGCCAGCAGACAGTGGGTGTGACGCGGATTGATAATGTGGGCACGGCGGATGCATATTGCCACTCCTTGCATCAGCTCTATATCGCGAACTGCTCACAACTATCGCCATTTTCCCTCCTGCGGAACAGACAACGAGCAGACATTGTTGGACACCGCGCTATTTGCCGAAATGGCAGTGTGAAATTGTGCCGCGACCCAGCAGCAGCCAGCAAAACAGTGCATCCAGCCAGTGCACTGAGTCACTTCTAATTCAGCAAAAATGTCGTAAGTATTATTTTTTAACATACCAGCTGTCGGGGACAACCGTCTGGCCTGGGAGCCGGTCTGACGAGTCTGCTGT